GTACTGAAAAATCCAATAAAAACTGATTGTTTAAAAAATAACTGCAATCATAGTTTTTTCTTTTTTTTTTTCTTTTAAATCTGCCTGAATTTCAGCTTTAAACTATGATAGTGGACACAAAAATAAATAGGTAACGGGAATATGTTTCTTTGTGACATGTATTTACAAAAGCATTTATTACTGAAAGTTAACATAGGTTGCAATGTAAGGCCTGGACAAGCTTTAACCAGCAATAACATTACAGTAAGAAAAGCTGTATAGGAAAGTTCTGTGAAAAGTGATGGATTAGTTAGCAGTAAATATAGAGTCCTCCATGTCACCTACTTTATGAATGCTGATAGGTAAAGTAACCAGAAGGAGTAAAGCTGGTCTTACACATGCGGCTTTTTGGGGTGTACATAACTTGCATAATGTCCACAACAACTAGTTAAATGAATTCTGATGAATTTCTATGTTAAAATAATAGTTTTTGTTCATGGATATTGGGGTGACATACTTATTACTGCTTACCTGTGGATGTGTTCTTAAAGTGTGAGGCCAAGAAGCTAACCTTTCCCGTGATGAGCTCATAGCTGATCTCTTTTAAGAACTCGCTGGTTGTCAGCATGCTCTCTGCTAGAACTCGGGATTGATATTTGCCTTTGAGAAAAAAAAATGAAAGGAAGATCAGAATCCCTTGTACAATCACCTCTTTAAAGCATAGTATATTGCCAGCTGGCTTGATAAACATCTAATGGTCTTCCAAAGTAAACAAAAAGGAACACCTAACAGGTACAATTCTTTCCATTATAAGTCATGATGCCATGACATTTAAACAAACAGTGGTCATATGGTGAGCAAAAGTCTGTGTGTCAATATCTAGTCCTGGTCTGTGTGCTCTGCTATTGTCGTTGCATAACTTGTACCAGTCTGGTGACATTACTATGACAACATAAATTTTTCAAACTTCAATCAATACTATTTTCGAATTCTAAAAGCAGTACTATCAGATCATTCTATGACAGAATGCTACTGTCTATGGGTGCCATTCAATCTTACGGGAGTAAAGAAATGTTAAAATATTCTCTTGGCAGTCAAGTGAACCATTTAATATTATACAGTGAACACTGCAATATTAATGATTCCTCCAATTAGTTCACTAGAAAAGGTCTGTAATGTTGAATCTTTACATAACCTGGAACAATAGTCTATAAGGGTATAAAAGATGGATTGCTTGAAGCAACTAGACAAAAGCTTGCTTTCGTTCTATAGTTTGCACGAGAAACGCTGGAAACTGACTGGTTGTGATGGAAACTTTTTTCTCCAGTTGTTATACAAAAAGGGCCAATGTTATTTAGTACATTTTGAGAAAGCCATAAAATTACTTACTTGGAATCAAAACTTTAGAAGCCTCCTTAAATTGTTCTAACACAATTCTTGCCCTCTCATCTTTATTTTAAGCAGTATAATTATTTAAAGAATGCATGCCCTTTCAAAAGAACCCAGAATGTATCCAGACAAGCTAAGAAAATTATTAGCTTTATTCTGTTTTTCCCTTTATTTGCTGTACTGGAACCATAAAAGGTCTGCCAGCTCAATTCACTTATTTCCTGAAACACTCTTGGACACTAGGCTTTCTAGATACTTAGCAGTGTCAAAGCCACTATTGGACTTACTGTAGCTACTGTATGATAGCTCATCACTGACTGGCAGGGACCAGCAAAGATCAAGAACATATAAATAGGAGCTGGACTAGCCATGTTTCAGTTAGACCTGGAAATCTATGCAAACTTTTTCCTTCCCTTCAGCATTTTAGGTTTTGCATACACTTGTTCATCCTAAACTAAAAGGTGTGTGCTACAGAGATATTATTTAAATAATCTTTAGTAATCGAAAGTCAAGAGCAGCAAAAAATAGGAATTTTAATAAGTTAACTATAAAATGGTGTAAGAACTTACAAGACTCATTTTCCTTCAATGTGGGTATACAAAAAAGGAGTTCACCTACCGTCTGACAGATACATATCGGGTACATAATTGTGAGATCTAAATAAAGTAAAAAACACTTTCTAAAATATACGAGGGCAAATCAAAAATGATCCACACTCTGGCTGTAGAATTTATTTTAATCAACTTTTAGAAAAGATTAATACATCATTTTTCAACATAATTCACTTGCTTTTCAATACACTTTATCTGTCAATAAGCTTTCGTATTCCCTCAATAAAAATGTTTTAGGCCAAGCTGCGAGCCATGAATGCACCGCTGTCTTCACTTCACCAGAAGTGAATCTTTGTCCTCGTAGGGCTGCTTTCTGATTTGCAACATAATCCACCATCACTCGTCTATTCAACAAAATAATTTCACGTGTACCCTCAATGTTGTCATCAGCAATGGACGTGTATGGGCGTCCGGCTCCTTCATGTCTAAAACGTATACAACCTTCCTTGAACTTCATTCATAAACACTTCTTTCACGACAAAACACTTTCTCCATACTGTGCATGCAGTCTTCGATAAACAATTGCATCATGCACACCCTTAGACCACAAAAAAAAAGATGTATTGCACGCTGCTCTTCTTTTGTGCATATCACAAGTGGGGCATCCATTTTTCTCGCACAACAGTTACAAATGAACTGATGTAACGCATTCCCACCTGCACAGGGGTGACTCGGGAGAGAGTAGCCTTAAACGGAAAGGGCTGATTCAAATCTCACAGAACTGGACAGTGCTATTCATCAGGCATTGTGTCAGATTCCTCGCATCACCTTTCCACATCTCGTGGAGTCAATGCCAAAAAGAATCGCCGCAGTATTAAAGGCAAAAGGTGGCCCAACGAAGTACTGATGGGGTGATCATAATAATCTGGCCACTCAGTGTACATTATATAGGTATATTTCAACACCCAGAATAACTTTTCATATGTTTTATTAAAAGCAAATTGTATTACTTACCAAGAGCAATAACACAGAACTCATTCCCTCGCAACTTTGAGCAACAGATTGCTACTACATAGTCAGGAAGCTTCTGTTGGGGTTTGATATCACTCAAAGATCGAAGAGTCTCAGAGATGCCCTCTGCTAGAGAGTTCTGGGTAACAAGAACATGAACCAAATCTTGAGAAACACTAGCTGACAAACGGGCCAACCAAGGTAACTGGGCCTGTGTCACCAACATGCCAGATGAGGTCATAGGCAAAGAGCGCTCCTTATAGGTAAACTCCTGTAGAGCCTTAAGCACAATTTGCTCAAACACTTCACGAATGGGTATTTGATCGGGACCTAAAAAATGTAAATATATTTAAGTTACAAAAAGAGGCATTTAGTGGCAGAGTTTATAAAAAAAAAAGCAGCAAGAGTGCAAACTTGCTGTTTTTTGCAAATTTTGGCCACCTTTAAACTTTACAAAGCTATAGACACTTTCAAAGTTCAAAAGGCAGCAAAACTTAAAAGAAAGCAAAAAAAAACAAAACATTTTCACAATGGTTATTACTCACCAAGCTTCACAAGATATTGGATAGTGAGAAGAATTAGGTTTTCTACGCTCAGGAACTGGCTGCTGACCACTCCCATCTGATCCAGTTCCTTCTTTTCCAACTCCTGTAACTTGTAGCAGTTCACCAACATTGGACTTACGACAATATCGCCAACATTACCATAGAAATATGGCAAGGCACCATAGCCTAGAATAATATTCAGAAGCAAAAAATAGCCCAAAGCCTTTAACTTAACAATGAAAAATAGAAGCAACCTTTAATGCTTATTCGTTATAAATCTGTCTGAAGATCCAGTAACAGGGCCCGAAAGGTAGAGTGGGTGATTTATATTTATTGAAAGTTCATGTTTCCTGTAAATGCATGCCACAAACAGCAGAAAGGCACTTGGATCCATAAGATCGTCTATTTTTAGAAAACCTTTTCATATGGCGCTGTACAAATCTATCCAACCCCTGTCTTCTAAATGAAGCACATGCAGTACACTGCTTATAGACAAAACCTGGTCCATGATAAAACAATGGCAAATCACTTATGCTATCTGACAGTTCTGGAACAGTTTGCAAGTAATTCACTCCAGTCTATGTGCAGCAGCTTCATCAAAGCGACACAGGTGTTTACACTATAAGGGCCAATTTGCACCAGATGCAGGCCCGCACAGCGCAGCGAAGGCCCAAAGCATCTGGAGCAAATCGGCCCATAATAGACACATACTCACAAGGCAATAGCCTTTCTCTCCAATTGTCTCAGTTCCCATCACTGTGTTGCATGCAGTACTTTTTTTTTTCTCTCAGTGACATAGTTCAGCCACATCACACCACACTGTGGCTGTAGAACTGAATTAAATGTAATTTCATCCAGTTGTGTCTCTCTCACCGCAGAGCAGCAGCCGTGTATTTAAGCACAGCTTGCTGGTGTGAACTGACCCTAATTCTTAAACTGGCCATACACCTATACAGGTGAAACTCGAATTAGAATATCGTGCAAAGTTCATCTCACTAATGCAACTTAAAAGGTGAAATATATGAGATAGACTCATTACATGCAAAGCAAGATAATTCAAGCTGTGATTTGTCATAATTGTGATGATTATGGCTTACAGCTCATGAAAACCCCAAGAACCCCAAATCCACAACCTCAAAAAAGTAGATTATTACATGCAATCAATAAAACAAGGATTGTACATAGAACAATATCGGACCTCTGAAAAGTACAAGCATGCATATGTACTCAGTACTTGGTTTGGGCCCCTTTTGCAGCACTTACTGCAATAACTTTTGCACGATATTCTAATTATTCGAGTTTCACCTGTAGATTATCTGCAGATTTTCTATTGTCAGATGGAAAAAGTGCATCAGATTCCTCCATCTACGCTGAACTGTGTGGATGGAGGAATCTCCCACTGAGCCAAGCTTCAGTATCTTGCTAGTCGGCCCCGCTGGCTCTCAAAATAACTGAATGCCTGCATCCAATCAGAATGTTTAGGGATTTTGACAGCCAGCTGGGCCGATAAGCAATATGAAAAGTGTGTGGCTATCCTTAGGCATGTGTCAGTGGAACAAGTGTCCCCATTTGTAGAGTTGCCCAATATTTCTGTTCTGTTAACTCAAAATGACTATTACAGGTATTTATATAATGCTGACCATTTACACAGCGCTTTACATACTGCACATTCACATCAGTCCCTGCCCTCAAGGAGCTTACAATCTAAGGTCCCTATCTCACATACATACAGGGCCAATTTAGTCTGAAGCCAATTAACCTTCCAGCATATTTTTGGAGTGTGGGAGGGAACCCGCACAAGGAGCGCATGCAAACCGACACAAACCGAGGAACTCAGTGCTGCAAGGCAGAAGTGCTAACCACTAAACCACTGTTCAGAATTTCTTATTACTTCCATCTCCTGTATCAGGACCAATAGAGAGTAAATCTCTCTAATGGAGACACAGACAGCAATAATCGGACAGGAGTCCAATCCGTTCATTTTATCCAAAACATTTTTATGGCTTTAGATATACAGTTTAAATTGACCTCAAAGGAAAAGTATTGCCTTATAAGTTTAATATTTAATAAGCAAAATATAAACTTAATAAAAAAAATGTTCTATAAGTGTTCAGACTTAAAAATCTTGCTTTCCTTCATAATTAGTTATATATGCATATGGGGGCAGTCATATAAGTGTATTACATATTCAGGCTCCGCTATGTTCTGCAGTGCTGTATAATTGTTTTGCTTTTCATCTCCTTCTCAATGTTAGCCAACTTAAATCCATACACTTCCAGTGTGGCTGATAGTTGTTTAATAGATTGATTATAATAGCTTTTTCTACCATGCATCTGGTGGCTAATGGCCAACCTTGTGAAAAGGTGAAAGTCACAAAAAAATGTAATCACAAAGCTAAAATAACTCAAGATATAATCTTGCTAAAAATGTACTATCATTTCCCTTTAAATGTGAAGATGGTATAAGAATTTATTAGGTAAAGAGCTTCTATATAACTCCCCCTCTCCTACCAAGATAGGTGTAATATGCCACTTTTGCTTGGCTTAGTTTCAGTACTCAGCTGAAGAACACTAGACCATTAGCTTTTTCCCAGACTGAGAAGGACCATAGACTAAGAAGGGGGGTCATAAGTATATTCACGTTCAACTTTGTACATTTTCAGGTTTATTGAACTCATGTAGTGTTAAATTCACTGGTTTATGTAGTATGAAATACATTAATAGCTTGCTTTAAATAACATTAATATTCTACAGGGAAGGGGGGTGTTCTATGAAAGTTCAAAGCTTAACAACATTTTATAAATAATGCTCACCTATCAAAATAACAGGCCTGACTCCAGAATTATTCAACAGATTTTCTGGCACGATTACAGTTTCCCCTGCTGGGATCGGCTGTGGCTGGAAAACACCTCCCAAAACTGGCTGCGGCACAGTGACTAGAGAAGGCAATAAATTCATAAAATGATCAAATTACACAGATTCTGCAGATTGTTGTTTCTCTCTCAAATCCAATGGAAATTGTTGCTCACAAAGCAGTGCATGGTAAAATCAAACTTTATACATCTCTAGTTTAATATTTGAACAGTAAAGGTGCCATGTAACAACGTATTACTTAGCAGAGATGAAAAATAACTATTGCTAAATGCAGCTTTGACTTAATTCCTAATCTTCATCCAGGGACAGTTCAAACAAAAGATAGTGAACTGTCTTATCTGCCAATGGATTGGTCATTTTGTCCAGCCGCTTTTCTGATTCATGCACCTCTGACAGACAGCAATGCCAGGAGGGTGACACCTCTTTCTCTGTTACAGTTAAAGTGACACTAAACTCAGGAGTTAAATCTTAAAAGTGCATTCAAGTACCTTAAAGTGACATTAAACCCTCAGATTTTTTAACATAAAACAATACTGTAATGTGTGCCTTACTGTAATCCATGGTTGTTTCCCTTCTCTTTGCTGCTCTTCCTTTTAAATCTGTATCTGTTCTCATGCTCTGCAGAACTTCTGTTTTGCAGCAGACTGCCTTGTCTCAGGAATGGATACACAGTATCTGTGTATTAGTTTGTATAGGCTTGAAACCTGAGCCAGCACTATAGGAAGAGGCCCTGAGCTGAAAAGGGAAGTTCTCCCCAAGCATGAGAAGACATGAGGATTTAAAAAGGAAGAGCAACAAAGAGAAGGGAAACAACCATGGATTACAGTAAGGCACACATTACAGTATTGGTTTATGTTAAAAAATCTGAGGGTTTAATGTCACTTTAAATATTAACAAAAATATATCTTAATTATCACTCAGTGGTAGATCCTCAAATCATCTCTCAATTGGTGCTGACATTGTCCTTCCTTCTGGAGGGTGGATACTTTTGTTCCCCATGGTCACTATGTGTGTTGTAAAGTGTCCAGCACTCCAAGCTCACGTTTAGTTTACTAATTTCTATCAAGATTGTAGTCATCCCAGGAGCGAACTTGGCGCGGTGGCTACACTATTACAATGCACACAGGGACCATGGGGAGCAAAAGTAACCAGCCTCCAGAATAAAAGACAGTGTCGGCACCAAGTCAGAGAGGGTTTGAGGATCTACAGCCGAGTGATGCACAAATAAGGTCCAGTGTTGTTAAGGTAATTGAATGCATTTTTAAGATTTAACGCCCGAGTTTGTCACTTTAAGGAATGCAGTGGTGTCATCTTTCTGTCCCCAGCCTGCTGACTGGACAGAGAAGGAGATGCAGAAGACTGATTAGGTGGTCTCTCTGCACTCTCCTCTAGTCAGCTTAGGCACATTTGAATACTGTACACCTGGCTGGCACCAAGTTCGAAGGCTGCTGTGTGGAGAATGACAGAAGCGGCTATCAAGACAGATTTGAAAACTGGTTGTAAATAAAAATAAATGTAATTTTAAAGGCGTGCAAAACTGGATTAAAGCATGTCTTTAGTATAGCATCCTGCTGACGAAGGCCAAGTTCACAGCAAGGCGGCACAGTTTTTGCACGTTTATGCGCATAAATGAAGACGCGCGTTTTGACTGGCAGCTTAAGAGACATTGCGGGCAATGGACGAATGCATGTACAAACGCGCACGAATATGTGCAACGTGCTTCTGCCGCACATTTTCAGGCAATTAAATTGACGTCTGTGGGGCAAAAACACCCTGTTAATTGCCCAAAGAAGCTCATGTACTTTCTCAGGCGTTTGGCGTTTTATCCTGCTGGCGTTTTGCTGCTCAGGTGTGAACAGAGGACATTGAAAATCATGGGATTTCTTGTGTTGGGCATTTAAAAGTGCTTTTCTAACTGCTCAAACACACCTAGGCGTGAACCAGGCCTTATGGAAACTTGTATTGAAAAAAAAAAAATATGCCAGCTGCCATGGTTGGTGTCTCTTTCTAAAAAAGCTCATTGACTGACTGTCATGCTGCTCCAATACTTTGAGTCATTGATCCAAACAAGCATGCAGATCAGAAGTCTGATTTCACTGGCTACGTATTATTTTAGGTCAGTGACTTTGAAGTCAGAGATGCCAAAGCGACTGGCATTTTTAGAAGGTGGTTAACAATGGCAATCTACACATTTCTCTTAGCACGGATTTACTTTAGAGCATATCTAAACCCAAAAATAAAAATTGAGTATATTGAAGTTTACCATTCCAGACTCAACCAAGCAAGGAAGCTGTGCTGTACAGTTGCCTTACTTGACTGACTCTGGGATTGTCGGGGGCCCTGGTGGAGGGGGATCTTTTGACCCCTGAAACGCGATGGCTGCTTTCTGTTGCCTTAGTGATATACGCGGCTCAATAAAATATATTTTTGGACACTTGAGAAATTAAGTTTTGCACTCTTTTCTGGTTTGATTGCTTGCGATTATAAACATTAGGCACCATTAGTATGCATGAAAGAAACCTGCCCAAGCTCAACTCAAATTCCGCAGTAACTGGAGACTGTTGACATCTCCACTTTTTCCAGAGTTGTGCTTTACAGGAGTAAAGATGTAGCAAGCAGGATTTTGTATTTAATGAATTACACCAAATGGCATACATGTTATCATAGCCTAACAGTGGAAATAAAAATCCTGTTTCTTCATACATAACTAAGCTACAGAGTTGTGAAAGTACCAACATTCTTAGATTTTACTTTGTACCTGGTCTTGTTACTGGGCGTATAGGTGGTGCAGGAAAGGCCAAAGCAGGTGTTTGAACTGGTGAACTGGGAGGCCATCCCCGGTGTCTTTTCTTTGGCGGACCAGAAAAAGTCATCACTGCTGTAAAGAAAAGAAAAAAGTTGCCTTTCATTTAGATCACAATGTTAAATAGGTCAAATGTATTAAAGTAAATAAATTCTCCAACATTTTATTTGGAAACACATCTTCAACAACAAAGAAAATGTAATGTCTACAGCCGACGTGCGACACTCCTGCAGAGAAGCTAGAGAAGGATGGGGCACCTCAAATATATGCATGCAGCCTAAAAATGGAATAATACACTTATGAGGAAACATGCTAAGTGATATAAACACACCAAACTAGAAACCTGGCTCTTTCCACCCCATCCACATATCCAAGTGAGGTCTCATTCAATTTCAATATTCTTGGGTAACTCATAATACTTTTAGGAAACCCAGATTTTGGAGTGTCACTGTACATAAATTAGGAGGCATTTCAGAACTCCATCCTGAAACATTGGTGGTTCCATACCAATTTCTCCAGCAATGCTGCCAGGACTTGGTGATGTAGAGTGAGAAAGTGGCTGAGAACATGCAGGATTTAGCAAAGTGCCCCTTAGTCCGCTTGTGGTTCCATTGGTTTCTTGTGATTGATATAAAACAGGTGCTGGAAGAAACAGAGCCAAATATAAATGTTGGAATAAACAGTACATTTCAACATACTGTACTGTACTGTGCAAACATAAGAAGCTCACCAGAAGGAAAGGTCTTTCCTAAAGGATGCACTGGTAGTGGCAAAGGCTTCACAATGCTCTTATTTCGGGACAGATCCTGAGGGGTGCTCGAATGAACAGCAGGAGCTTTGGCATAGGTAAAAGATTGTACCTCTGTAAAGAAAACATGCAAACATTATGCTAGAAACACAGTAATCTAGCTCATGGGTGCATAACTAGTGGTCTGTTTACAACACCCAAAAACAATGACAATATGTGAGGTGGGGGTCATGGAAAAATGCATACACTTGGGGCTAAAATACAGAATGGGTTGTGTACCTCACATCTAGCTCCTAAGATCAGGATACGGATATCTCAAATCAACAAAAAAAATTTGGACAAAGTAAATAGATTGACAGACCGCGCTTTTTTTTTTTTATGGATGCCTCCAGTTTCACTAGTTGATGCCTCTCTGGTAAGCAATCCGACCCCAAATATCCCAGTTATGACAGTATGGTATATTTAAAGATAGATGCAGATCCGTCTGTAGGTTAATTCACTCATACTGTATTGATGCGGCATGTTATCCGAGCGTGGAGTACTGGAAATACTTTGAGGGGAATTTATCAAAACCGAAGCAGACAAAAACTAGAGCAGTTGCCCTGGGCAACAAATCAGCTTCTCTCTTCAGTTTGCTCAAGTTAAGATTTGAAAATGAGAAGATTGGTTGCAGTACACAGCTGCCCCAGATTTTTTGATAAATTTCCAGTTTTGATAAATTACCCTCTTTATGTTTTTATTTATTGCCGTAACAAATCAATCAGATTACAAATGCCAATATCTAGATCAGTTACAAAATGTTGGCCAATCACTGCTTATTCACTCAAGCAGTGGACCCTGTCAGCACCTCTTGGCTCAACAAATTTCAAATACAAAATTAAAGGAGCCTGATGGAAAATTGTCAGCCAAACAGGGACTGCATTTAATTATATGAAGGGTATAACAAGCAAAATATAGCCATGTATGGCTAGCTTTACAAGTTGGGTATACACTGGTAGATTTTCGTACGAACATTCATATGAAAAATCTCATAACATTCAATAATGCATCAGAGACTGGACAAATGTTGCTTGGATTTTGTTTGATTATAACATTTGATTTTGGACTGAGTAGTTTTCCGGAACGAAAACCACATAAACTGTTAGAATTTAATTCAGTTAAGATAAATTTGCCATCCTGCTCCTTTGATTTTTTTTTTTCGTCACCATGGTCAAAATCAGTCATAGAATGAATATTCTGAATGCAAATAGTTTTTTTTAATGCAATTCCTCTTGTTTTCAAAATACCTTCTCAATGTTTATTTTACATGCATATCTAAAGTGATCCATAGTATTCAAAATACATTGAAAAAAAGGAGGACATTAAGATTAGCATGCAAAGATCTGATTATTTTTCAGTTTACCTGAAGGAGAGAATCTGGACTTGTATCCATTACTGCTTCCATTTTCTGAGAGGGGAGTGATTGGCTTTGCAACTGGAGCAGGAAGGGGTCGACTTCGAGGCTCTGCATGACAGATACTTAGATTATGATTTAGGAAGTGATGAGTCTGAGTTTTTATACAGTAGTGAAGGAATAGAACCTCTTTTGGGTTTTATTCAGAAATAAAAACTTTAACAGCAACATTTTAATAGATTTCAGAAAGCCTAGAACCTATGTCATATATTTTATTGTTTACTGAAAATCTCTCAATTCCTGTCATGGTGACTCCCTGCTCCCTGGGAAAACCTCCCAATGTGGATAAAGACAGCAGTGAAGTCTGACAAAGTCTAACCCTTTCCCATTATCTAAAACATACATGAAAAGAAGTTTACGCATGAGAAAACAATAGACTTACCTTTCCAGCATATAACTGGCCCTTTGCAGAGTACTCCCTGGGAGTTCTTCACCAGGTAATATTTTAAGTGCTTTTGCTTCTTTGGTTGAGTTGTGAGTTTCAGGTTTATGTGATTGGAGAACTCTGTAAAATACCTGAAACCCCGCTCTCCACAGCCAACACAATTTCCAGAGAACCCTTAAAAATACACATACATATACAATAAATATAGCTCAGAATTTTGTTGTTGGTTAAAATGTGATACATGACTAAAGGAAAAATATATAACATAGAAAGATGTTTATTGACTCACAGATCAGCAAATCAGAGGCTCAGTATACTGTGGTGGCTGAATATAAAGTCCTTCAAGCCACAAAAGCATTAGACTAATTTAGTTAATTAGATAGCTTAGAAATTAGTATAATGAAATCAGAAAAAGTATTAGACTCAAGTAGGGAGACTGACATTAAAGATGCAGTTTCACTTACATCAGAGTCCCCTCCCCAAGATACTGCTAACTAGATTGCATAGCTATTTGTCAAAATCTACTCAGCCAGGCCCATGCATGCACTCCGCACGTGTATTGATTCCCATAAGGCACAGTTTGCACACCAGACTAATGCTATAGCAACGAATGAGTCTAACATGGGACTTGGCCAGGAAGATTTTGACAAATGGCTGTGCAATCTATTGAGTGACATAAGATGGGTGTGGGATTGTTGCAGGTCATCCATTTTAAAATCAAATGCCATGCTTAAGAGTAGGCACCATAGAATACATGTTCTAATTGTTGTGTGTCCCCCTGATCTTGGTGACTTTGAGGCCAAGCATCATATGCGAACTATCCATCTGTAACAGCTAAACACACAGTTGATACACAAAGATAACCGTTTTACCTTCCAAAGGGTTTGTAGTTTTGGTCAGCCATTGTTCATATACAAACTACTACTGGTTTACAATTACTGTAGTCTGGATCAACTATTTCAGGGCTAGATTTGCTATTAGACATGGAAGGCCCATGTCTAGGGAAAGGAGCATCTTTCACTTCAACAGTTCTGTGGAAAGGTACGTCATAGTGCATCTTCATTCAGTACACTGGACTCTTCACCTTTTGACTAATGCCTTTTACTTGGCATGATGTTTTGCTTGCATTTGCTTTTGTTAGACCCATATAACTATATGGTGAAGTGTTATTTAGAATTGTTACTAAACATTAAACAGACTGTATACAATTTCAGCACAGTAACATCTTAAAAAAAGCACCACAGAGCCATTTACATTTAAGGCTCATGCACGCAGATTACAATAAAACCGTTTATGCTCGATTCAGAAGCTGGCAGAAACGCCAAAAAAAAGCTTAAAATAATGGGTGTTTTGGTGCATAATTACATGTACAGGGTTTAGAGGCGTGTACATACACTAAATTGCCAAAAGTATTGGGAAACCCCTCCAAATTATTAGATTCAGGTGTTCCGTGTAACTTCCTTGTTACTAAATATTCAATGGTCAACTGTTAGTGGTAATATAACAAAGTGGAAGCAATTGGGAACAACAGCAACTCAGCCACGAAGTGGTAGGCCACGTAAAATGACAGAGCAGGGTCATGCTGAAGCGCGCAGAAGTTGCCAAATGTCTGCAGAGCCGATAGCCAAAGACCTCCAAACTTCATGTGGCCTTCAGCTTAGCACAACAGTGCATAGAGAGCTTCATGGAATGGGTTTGCATGGCCGAGCAGCTGCATCCAAGCCTTACATCACCAAGTGCAATGCAAAGCGTCAGATGCAGTGGTGTAAAGCAAGCCGCCACTGGACTCTAGAGAAGTGGAGACGTGTTCTGTGGAGTGACAAAATCACACTTCTCGGTCTGACAATCCGATAGATGTGTCTGGGTTTGGCGGTTGCCAGGAGAACGGTATTTGCCTGGCTGCATTGTGCCATGTGTAAAGTTTGGTGGAGGGGGGATTATGGTGTGGGGTTGTTATTAAGGGGTTGGGCTTGGCCCCTTAGTTCCAGTGTAGGGATCTCTTAAGGCATCAGCATACCAAGAGATTTTGGACAATTTCATGCTCCCAAGTTTGAAGAACAGTTTGGGGATGGCCCCTTCCTGTTCCAACTTGAATGAGCACCAGTGCACAAAGCAAGGTCCATAAAGACATGGATGAGCGAGTTTGGGGTGGAGGAACATGACTGGCCTGCACAGAGTCCTAACCTCAACCCGATAGAACTTTGGGATGAATTAGAGCGGAGACTGCGAGCCAGGCCTTATCGTCCAATATCAGTACCTGACCTCACAAATGTGCTTCTGGAAGAATGGTCAAACATTCCCATAGACACACTCCTAAACCTTGTGGACAGCCTTGCCAGAAAAGTTGAAGCTGTTATAGCTGCAAAGGGTGGGCCAACACAATATTGAACCCTACGGACTAAGACTGGGATGCCATTAAAGTTAATGTGCGTGTAAAGGTAGGCCTCCCAATACTTTTGGCAATATAGCGTATGTTCTACTGGCTAGAATATACATTTACTCTAGCCCCTAGAATGAGTTAATAAAATTTGGGGCATTTTTTATGCCTCTAAACACTGCTCTAACACACGGATCTAGACACCATGTGCATGGACACACCGGTTAAAACACACCTCTAAAAGCGAAGTTTATTCTGCCCATGTGCACAAGGCCTAAAGAAAACACATGTAAATACAGTTGAAACACATACTTATGTGAAATGTTTAACCTGCCAAGAGATTTGTAATCACCTCCATGCCTATTGGATTCACTGCCTAACAGCGATCCACCGATACTGGTTTTTCGGTATCAAGTACAAGTACCGAAATTTTGTTTTTGGTACCCGCCGCCCAGCTTCCCGATTGCCCCGGAAGTCTGCGTTCTATTAAAAGAACACCGGCTTCACGTTCTGAGGCAGCCTGGCTTCCGGACCAATTAATTAATTGGTCCGGAAGCCAGGCTGCCTATCAACAAGTGAAGCCGGCTTCCTGGCCAATCAGGAAGCCGACGGGACATCATGACCCACCTCTAGTTCTCTGTTGTGTTAAAGGAGTACATTTACTAATGCCCTCCTGTGACCCAAAGTCGGTGTCTAGCAGGCTACTGCCCACTGTTTGCTGAGAGCCCAGAGCCAAGCTGTAGCCGGAAATATTCTGAAAATATTGCCCACATGGGTGCCTGACTGGACAGCTAACTCTGCCTTTCTAGAGCCAAAACCAGCTGTGCCCGCCTCCTTGCCTGTATGTCTCTACAATGAGCACTGGAGGAACAGAGAGAGGGGAGGGGGAAATCGCTGTGGGGTCTCCGCAGTCACTGTGCCCTGCAGGAAGAAGATGGTGAGCTGAGCGGTCACTAGTTTGTGAATTAAGTTCTTAGTCTATATAGATGTGACACCTGCAGCGTCAAACGCCAGTTTTAAGTATTGGGAAGAGTACATTTTATTCTACCAATACTTCTTTATTAATCTGTGTATTTAGCCTAGAATTTTGCCGTGATTAAGTGGAAATAAAAATCATGTAATTGTAGAATTCTATATGCAGCTATATAAAATATTAATGAATATAAATACTTGATTTGAATGTTGTCATCTAAACCAATGTTTAGACTTAACCCTAATCTAACAAAGATATTATT